ATAGTTTTGGAAGCTCCTTTAGAGATCAGTTATCCAAGATCAGAGGTAGCACTTTAAAAAAAAAATTATTCATTTTTATCAGAAAGGCAGGCGTAGAGAGAAGAGAAAGATCTTTAAATCCTGATGTGATGGTTCAATTGCTAAATCCTTACCTTGCAAGCACCGGCATCCTAAATGAGTGCTGGTTTGTGTCCTGGCTGCTCCATTTCCTATCTAGCTTCCTGTTTATGGACTAAGAAAGCAATAGAGGATGGTCCAAAGCCTTGGAACCCTGCATCTGCAGAAGAAGATCCTGGCTGCTGGCTTTGATCTGCTTAGCTCTAGCCATTGCAGCCACTTGGAGAATGAATCAGTGAATGGAAGATCTCTGTCTCCTTCCTAATATATTTAAAACTGACTTTACAATTAAAAAATTAAAAATAAATATTTAAAACAACAACAAAACCCTAAAGCTTCATGGCCCAGCACAATAGCTTAGTGGCTGAAGTCCTTACCTTGCTTGTGCTGGGACCCCATATGGAGCATGTGTCACAAAGGTTATCTACATAATTTCAAGGTCACAGATCTGTCCATTTCAGGTCATAGATCTGTCAATACTCCACAGGTACAAATAACTCATATCTTCCAAACAATTCTGTCCTAAAGAACAAGGTTAGTAACTGCCCTTAAGTCTTCTTTACGACTGATTTGGCAACAATAAACACAGGATCCCAGTGACTTGAAACAGAAATGTACTTCTTCTCTGTCCCATAGAAGTCTAGAAGCAGGCAATTCAGAGCTGGGATGTGAGGTCTCTCCACAGTGTCCTCAGGAGCCCAGAATCCTTTTCATCTATTGCCTTCGCCCGTCCTTGATCTTATGACCCAAAATGGTGGCTTTTGGTCAGCATTCCAAGTCACAAGGCAGGTGGTAGTAGAAGGAAAAGGGGACAGAGAATGTATGCCAGATGACTTTAAGAAAATCCGCAGATGGCATGCCTGATCTTTAGGCATTGGCCAAGACACCATGATAGCCAGAGCTAATTTTGAAAGAGACTGAAAATAAGGTCTTTCTTGTAGTTCGTATGTTCCCAGATGGCAGCGGTTTTATCAACAATGGAAAAAGGGAAACATATTTAGACATAACTGACAGGGGGCTAATGTTTTCATTTAGCAGGTAAAACACTGTCTGTGCCAACAGCAAGCCATATGAATGCCATCCTGAGTCCTGGCTGCTCTGTTTCTGATATAGCTCCCTGCTAATGTGCCTGGGAAGGCAGAGGATGGCAGGTGTTTGGATTCCTGCACTCCTGTAGTAGACTCAAAGAAAGCTCTTCAGACTGGCCCAGCCCGGGGCAACTGTGGGCATTTGGGGAAGTGATTCAAAAGATGGAAGATTCTCTCTTGCTCTCTTTGCCTCTTGAACGTTCTCAGCTTGTAACTGTGCCATTCAAATAAATAACATACATCGTTAAAAAAGAAAGAACTGAGCCTGGCACAGTAACCTAGTGGCTAAATCCTTATCTTGCATGCGCCGAGATCTCATATGGGTGCCGGTTCTAATCCTGGTGGCCCATCCAGCTCCCTCCTTGTGGCATGGGAAAACAGCTGTGGACAACCCAAGGCCTTGGACCCTGCACCCACATGCGAGACCCAGAAGAGGCTCCTGGCTTCAGACTGGCACAGCTGCAGCCATTGCATTCACTTAGGGAGTGAACCACTGGATGGAAGATCTTTCTGTATCTCCTTCTCTCTGTAAATCTACCTTTCCAATAAAAATAATCTCTATTTTTAAAAAATTGTCTTTATTTTTTTTTTAAATTCTAGTAAAAAAAAAAAAAAAGAAGAAAGACTTGGTACTGGTGCCATGGCCCAATGGGCTAATCTTCCACACTGTGGCACTGGCATCCCATGTGGACACAGGGTCCCAGATGCTCCAGGTTCTATCTAGCTCTTTGTTTACGGTCTGGGAAAGCAGTGTTGCCACAGACAACAAACTGAATGAAGCTTAACTTTGCCCGTTTTACTTCTTCATATGCTTCCAATTCTTGACTTATGTTCCTGGCTGATTTTGTTGTATCTTGCAATGTTTCAAGGATATAAATAGTAACAGGCTATATATATATATATATATATATATATGTACAAGTATGTATGTGTTTGGCAGACACTTCTGTTATAGTTTTTATTTGCCATGTGCATAACAAACACAGAAAACATAAACAGTGAAATAGTGAGCATTTACTATCAAGTTGTTGCTTAAGGTCATTTGAGTCCTTGAGCACTTTCCACTTGGGCAGGGTTTGTCTTGATATTCATAATCTGTTCAGATAATTATGACATCAAAATGACTTACACTCATAACCTTTGTTAACTAAACAGTAAGATCACTTTCCAGTATGCTGTGAGTGTCAGCAGTGCAGGGAAATGCTGCTGCTGGGACATAGAGGAGGAGCTGTTGGTGCTTTCAGTGGGAGATGGACAATGATTGCTCTCAGTAGCCACAGTGGCTAGCCAAGTATCAGCTTTAAAAGGTGGGAGGAGCTCAAGGGATGAGGGTGCAAGGGTAGTCCCTGATGATTATCAGATTTTATGGAGACTTTTCTCACTGGGATTGACAACAAAAAGTGTATCACATGACAGGAGTTTAAACAGAGGGATATAACCCGCTCTCGGTTGGCAAACACTTATGTTGTAGTTTTTATTTACCATGTAAACACATGAGTAATACATGTTAGAAAATATGGAGTATTCTCTTAAAAATCCCAGTGTACACAACTTGGAGTTAATTTATGTGATATTCTTAATAATTAATTACAAATCTAAAAACAGATATGGTTTCTTTGTAAGAAACAAATACAAAATGATGAAAGTATTTAGGAGAAATAATATTTAATATGCTTCATGAAAAGATAATTTTTAGTTAAGTGTTCAATTTCAGAAAGGGCTCAATAAGAGGTATGATTGTAAATAAAAAAGAGATACCGGGCCCGGCGCGGTGGCGCAAGTGGTTAAGGTCCTCGCCTTGCACACCCGGGATCCCATATGGGCACCGGTTCTATCCCGGCAGCCCCGCTTCCCTTCCAGCTCCCTGCCTGTGGCCCGGGAAAGCAGTCGAGGACAGCCCAAAGCTTTGGGACCCTGCACCCGCGTGGGAGACCCAGGAGGAAGAGGCTCCTGGCTTCGGATCGGCATAATATCAGCCGTTGCGCTCACTTGGGGAGTGAATCATCAGACGGAAGATCTTCCTCTCTGTCTCTCCCCTCTGTATATCCGCCTTTCCAAGAAAAAAAAAATAATAATAAAAATAAATCTTTATTAAAAAAAAGAGATACCAAATAGAACAATACAACTTCTAAATGCTGATGCTCAGAGTATTATAAAATTTTGTATTATAAAATGAACAAAAGGCCATGTCAGGACTCACATAGACCCATGAGACATGAATGCTAAAAAATGAAGTGTACATTTTCTATAAATTAGAGCTGATATGCACTTCCAGAAGAAAGCATAGTTTGAACAAGATGATAACTTCAAAAATGTCATTTATTAATATTTGCAATATATAGGAAGCTCACTAGACCCTATATATGACCACATGAATAAAGATTAAATGTTGTGTTTTTGAAACCACTAATCTCAGATCTGGTTCAACCTATTTAAAAGACACTGAGATACCTAACTCAAAATTTATGGCATGTGCTTTGGGGAAGAGCAGTAAATAAATGTTAGCCAGGAAAATTCAGTTACATTCCAGTCTGGTTTAGCCCTCAATTGTTTCTTTTTTTTTTTCTTTTTAAAATATTTATTTATTTTTATTGGAAAGTCAGATACAGAGAGAGGAGGAGAGACAGAGGAAGATCTTCCATCTGTTGATTCACTCTCTAAGTAGCCACAATGATCAGAGTTGAGCTGACCTTAAGCCAGGAGCCAGGAGTCTCTTCTAGGTCTCTCATGCAGGTACAGGCTGTGCTAGACTGCTTTCCCAGGCCACAGGCAGGGTAATGGGTGGGAAGAGGGGCAGCCAGGATTAGAACCAGCGCCCATATGGGATCCCAGCATGTGCAAGAACTTTAGCCAGTAGGCTATCACAGTGGGCCTGAAAGGTGAATTTTTTTTTTTTTACAGGCAGAAGGAAAGACAGAAAAATCTCCCATCTTCTGGTTTTCTCCCAAAAATCCACAATGGCTAGAGCTGAGCTAAACTAAAGTCAAGAACCTCCTCCAGGTTTTCCATTGCAGGTGCAGGGTGCCAAGACTTTGGACCATCCTCTACTGCTTTCCCAGGCTATAAGCAGGGATCTGAATGAGAAATGGAGCATACGGGATACAAACCGGTGTCCATATGGGATGCTGGCACTTGCAGCTGGAGGATTAGACAGCTGAGCCATTGCACTGGCCCTGAGACATTCTTTCAAAAGTCTTCTTTCCTCATTAAAAACACTAAATGGTTCGGATTTGATGTCCTCTAAAGTCCTTTCCAGCACTGTAGTTCTAAAGCTTCTTACAGGTCCAGCATATACGATATAATGCTTGAGATGTACTTATTTGCATAAATAGTCCACACATGAAATTTGAATTATTACAATATTTTATTTGATATTTTTCGAGTCAGAGACAGTAATTCAGAATTCAACTATAGCATTATAATTTTTAAAGTCAAAGTAAGATGAGCAGAATCATAAAGCTTAGCATTAAATCTTGGAGAGTAAAATAGAATGTTAAATAAAAAAATGTACCTGACAGGGAAAATTTTATTTTGCTTGTTTGTTTGTTTTTTACCAATTATGTTTCAATGACAGTTACTCTCTGAACAGCTGTGCACTCAGAATTTGTAAACATAATTTACATGCTGGGGTGTTAAAGTCCAACACAAAGGATTCTGAATTTTCCTAAAGGTACAGGTTGAGGAAGACAAGAATTTTTCACTTCCCCCTCTCCTTGTCTCAGAGGGGACCATTATAAATTACACACATGTTTGGTAATATTTTTTGGAAAATAAGTATCCAGATTCTAGAATAATTTAATATTTATTCTTCAACTTGTTTTTAATATCAGACATGTTAATTTCATCTTGAACATGGTAAGCCAAATATCCTGAGCTTCCAGGAATGAAGTCATGAATCTCCCCAAGAAATTTCTTCATGGACTCAATTGATACATAACCTACAAAAATAAAAAAAAAAAAGTTTAAATACATCCCTCTGTTTAAACTCCTGTCATGTGATACACTTTTTGTTGTCAATCCCAGTGAGAAAAGTCTCCATAAAATCTGATAATCATCAGGGACTACCCTTGCACCCTCATCCCTTGAGCTCCTCCCACCTTTTAAAGCTGATACTTGGCTAGCCACTGTGGCTACTGAGAGCAATCATTGTCCATCTCCCACTGAAAGCACCAACAGCTCCTCCTCTATGTCCCAGCAGCAGCATTTCCCTGCACTGCTGACACTCACAGCATACTGGAAAGTCATCTTATTGTTCAGTTAACAAAGGTTATGAGTGTAAGTCATTTTGATGTCATAATTATCTGAACAGATTATGAATATTAAGACAAACCCTGCCCAAATGGAAAGTGCTCAAGGACTCAAATGACCTTAAGCGACAACTTGATAGTAAATGCTCACTATTTCACTGATTATGTTTTTTGTGTGTAATGCAAATATTTGTGGTTTATACTATGACTGAAATCTAGTTTAAAAGTAAATAGTGTATGGAAAAATTCTGGTAGCGTTCAAGAATGACTACACTTGATCTTAGCCAAAAGGCCAAGAAGCAATCAAGAATGACTAAATTTAAAAAAACCACTACTATCAAGATCAATAGCAAATCTATGCATATAGTTTGTTTTGATAATGAACTCATGACTAATGGATTAGCTATAAATACAACTATATCAAATCTATTAATGCTTTTAGAAAAGAGATATATTTATTTATTTATTTGAAAGAAAGAATTATAGAATCACAAAATATTCTCGGGTTCACTCCTGAGATGGCCACATCCGCCAGGGTTGGGCCAGGTCGAGGCCGAGAGCTTTACTTGGCGTCCCATGTGGGTGTCATGTGTCCCAACACTTAGACCATCTTCCCCTTTTCCCAGGCATTAGTAGGAAGGTGGGTCAGAAATGGAGCAGCCAGGATGTAAACTAGCAGCCAGATTGGATGCCAACATTGCAGGCGAGGCTTTACCTACGGTACCACAACACACATTCCAAATATCTTTAACACTATTTTAGTCAGGGTCATTTCTTTTACAGCATCTCTGGAAGTACTGCTATACCTTGCATGAATTCATGATCTATGCCTAATGGCAAGAAATCTGTATAAAATAAGCTAGTAAAAAAAGTAATTAGTTGTATTTATACAGTTTGAAGTTTCTAGAGATATTTGTGAAGGTTAGAATAAAAAAAAGTTACTACATTATCAAAAGTATTCCTGTAAGTATAAGAATAGGATATTTATAATATCAGAATTTGGTGGTGGTTGTTGTTTGCATTTATGAAATAGGACTGCAAATTGAAATGGACAGAAACCTAATTTGAGCTAATTTAAACAAATGAGTTTTCTGGAAAGACTGTCATATCAATCAAGATGTGAGAAAGGCAGACATGTGGCTGGCCTCAGAATTAACCACTTACCATCACTCTCTCATTGGTCCTAAGTTTTTCTCCATATGTTAGCCTAAGTTTTATTTTTTGAGGCAAGCTGGTTTCCTTTTCATGGTAGAAAATATGGCTACTGGGCCTGGCGTGATAGCTCAATTGGCTAATTTCTTTGCAATCACTGGGATCCCATATGTGTACTGGATCGTGTCCTGGGTGCCCCATTTCCATCCAGCTCCCTGCTTTTGGCCTGGGAAAGCAGAGGAAGATGTCTCAAGTCCTTGGGACCCTGCACCCATGTGGGAGACAGAAGAAGCTCCTGTCTCCTGGCTTCAGATTAGTTCAGCTTCGACTGTTGCTGACATTTTGGGAGTGAACTAGTGGATGGAAGATCTTTCTGTCTCTCCTTCTCTCTATAAAACTGCCTTTCCAATAAAGATAAGTCAATATTAAAAAAAAATCCAGAAAAAAGATCTGCAATTATCTCAGCTTAAGTCAAGTCTTCAGTTACAAAGCAACTCTTAGGGGTAGGGACAAGCTCATGTGCTAGAATGTGTCTGTTCCTGTGTAACCTGGACAAATTTGGAGGAAGAACAGAGCATTTAGGAAAGGCATTGTTGGTGGATAATTCTAGATATGTCTGTGACACCCAGCCTTCCAGTGACCTCAGCAGATGCCCCCCTCCTGGCATTCATAACCTGTACAGCTGCCTTGATCAACACAGAAGGGAAGATTTGTCTCTTCTGAGAATAGGATATAAAGAAGGCAATGGCTTCTGTTTGGGGTGCATTTTTTTCTCACCTTTTTACTTCTCAGGACAAAAGAAGCAAGTTACTTATGTTGTAAATAGCTCTCACAGAGAGGCCCACTTGGTGAGAAGCTGAAGTTCAGAGCCAAAACTCAGAAAGGACCCAAGCATGAGTGAGCTTTGAAGCAGAGTGACTTGTCTCCCTGTGCTTCAGCTACCATACTCCTGGATTTCTAACCCTCAGAAGCTCTGAAATTAGTAAGTTATCATTGTTTAAAGCTGCTGAGTTTTAGAATAATTTGACAAACAGTCATAGATTACAACACAGCACCTATTATAGGTTCTCAACTTTCAATTATCAGAACTTTTTGGTATCTGCAAGGTATTTACAATTATTAGTAATTGTTTTCTTACTGTTATGTAACTACCAATCAGAACTTCTTATCATGGATGATAACCAATAATGTCAGACTGAGGGGATTTAAGTTCAGTAAAAATTTTCTAAAAGTTAAAAAAAAGAGACAGAAAGATCTTAATATTTCAGGGAACAGATCGCAATGTCTGGAGACATTTTTAGTTGTCACAGACTTGGAGAGAGATGTGGTGGCACTAGCATGTTGTGGGCAGAGGCTATGGACACTGTTAAACAGTCTATAGTACACAGCACTGATACCCAACCTGCTCCACCCAGACACAGAATTATCTGGCCTAAATGCCAACAGGGCCAAACTGGGAACCCCTGATCGAGAACACAGTTACAACACTTGATCTTAGCCAAAAGGCCGAGAAGCGAGTAGAACATAGTTACCAACTTATATTTTTTATAATTATATTTCTAGAAATGTAACAGTGATTGAGTTGAGCCCAGCCCACTTTGATGAAGATACTCAAGTTATAGTCAGGAAAACTGATACCACAGCCTAAATTAGAACTCTCACCAAATAGTTACCCAGAACAAGCTGATTTTTCCTAATAAAAATGTACTCTTTTCTGCATAAGTAGTCAGCCATAATATCAACAGGAAATATTTATTATTTCATATAAAACTAAAGACAAATTATATTTAAAGAATGAAGTTCTCTTCTAGAGAGTGCTATTAAAATATTCTTGTAGAAAAAAAATATTCTTGAAGAAAAAAAATATGCTTGTAGACACGTAAGGGAGGGAAATAATTATTTTTCAAAGATTTTATTTATTTATTTGACAGGCAGAGTGATACAGAGACAGATAGGTTCAGAGGGCAAAAGATCTTCCATCTCTAATAGTTAATTTTCCAAATGTCTACAACGAACAGGCCGAAGCCAGGAGCTTGGAACTCCATCTGGTCTCCATATGGGTAGTGGGACCAGAGTACCTCAGCCATCAGCCACTACTTTCCCAGGTGTATCAGCAGGGAGCTGGATTGGAAGCAGAGCAGCAAGCACTCTAATTGTCACAGCAATTTCTAACGCTGGCATCACAGATGGCAGCTTAAAAGCTATAAAAGGCCAGCCCCAAAGTAATTGTTAAATCGGCCAAATGAAAAGATCAGGTTAAAATTAGATTTTTAGTTTGCATGCAAATGATCATATTTTAGAAATGTAGTTATTATTTAGCATTGTCATCTTTTAACAGTTTCTTTATCCAATAGAAAAACTTAGAGCAGTGTCATTATATAGTCAGATCGTAAGTATATACATTTGTTGTGTGTGACTGATTTTAACATTTATCATTGACTTCTGTTTTAAAAAGATTTATTTATTTTTATTGGAAAACAAGATTTACAGAGAAAAAAAAAAGAGACAGAAAGATCCTCTATCCACTGACTTCACTCCCCAGTGGCTGCAATGGACAAAGCTGAGCTGATCTAAAGCCAGGAGCCTTTTCTGGGTATCCCACGTGGGTGCAGGGTCCCAAGGCTGTGGGCTGTCCTCAACTGCCTTCCCAGGCCATAAGCAGGAAGCTGGATGGGAAGCAAGGCAGCCAGGATTAGAACAGGTGCCTATATGGATTCCTGGTGTGTGCAAGGCAAGGACTTCAGCTGCTAGGCCACCGTGCCGGGCCTATTTCATTATCTTTTGCAGTGTACAACTGGCCTGTGACAGAGTTCTATTTTCATAGTTGAGTAGCTGGTTTCTTTGTTTTCTCACAGACTCAGTCCAAAAATACACATTCAGTGGAGCAGTTCTGCAGGTCAGTTTAATAAATGAATGAGGTTCCCTCCACTACCATGTAGGACAAACAAGGCCTACTTGCTAGGACAGTTGGAGTACAACAGCATCTTTGCTATCATAATATTCCTTTGGTTCTTCCCTACCGGGGTTAAAATTTCATTTTAAGTTACCTGTTACCATGTTGTTCACTGGATAATTTTGAAGAGGAAAGTACATCTGCTTTTCCACAGCTGGAGTCCTTATAAAATCCTCTTCTGTGCTGTAAAATAAAACAGATTTGCGTTTATATTTGTTGTTGGTGGTGGGTTTTGTTTTGGAGCTTGTTTTTGGACTTGTTTGGCAAAGGAGAAGTTACTCCAGATTACATATAGCAAATTATCTTTTTAAGAGTTATATTTCTTTATTTCAAAGTCAGAATTGCATAGAGAGGGAGAGGATGGGAGAGGGGAAGAGGAAGAGTAAGAAAGCTCTTCTACTGGTCATCTCACAGATGACCACAACATCCAGAATTGCGCCGGGCTTAATCAGGAACTTCATCTAGGTCTCCTGTGTGAGCAGCAGGAGTCCAAACACTTACACCATCTTTTGCTGCTTTTCCTGTGCCATTAGCTGAGAACTGGATTGGAAGTGGAGCAGCTGGGACACAAACCCACACCCACATGGGATGCCAGTGTCCCAGGTGGTGGCTTAACATACTACACCACAAACCAGCTTCCTATATATATAAATATCATTTTGAAGGCTCTTTGATCTGACGTCAGTCTTACTGGGAGAAAATGTTAATGGTGAATTTCCTTTGAGATTCTAAGCTATGTAAGGGTCTATTCAATATTTTTTTGCTTTCTTTGTTCTTGTACAAAGAAAACATTTATCAAGTGTATCTGGGTCTTTTTCTCAGTATCTGACAATATAACAACTCAATACCTTATACTTATAAAATATGTGCATTTGGAGATCTTCAAAAAAATCACGGAAATAACTATGATGAAAAAATTGCATGGATTTCAAAATTACACCAAAATAAGCTTCTATTTTAATTTTGTTTCTGCATGAACCTTTTGAAATATCCTTATACTTGACATTCAAAGAATTAACATTCTATTAAATAGTACTTCAATACTTTACTGTAACAAATAAAAATGGTATCTGGGAAAATTATGATACACATAAGTTTTAAAATTACAGAGAGAAGGAGAGACAGAAAGATCTTCCATCCACTGGTTCACTCCTATGTGCTGGTTCACTGTCCACAATGGCCAGAGCTGAGCCTATCCAAAGCCAGGAGCCAGGAGCTTCTTTTGGGTCTCTTACAGAGTGCAGGGTTCCAAGGCTTTGGGCCATCCTCTCCTGCTTTCCCAGGTCTGAAGCAGGGAACTGGATGGAAAGTGGAATATCAGGGACACAAACTGGTCCCATAAGGGATCCTGGCATTTGCAAGGGGAGGATTAGCCAACAGAGCCATCATTGTGGGCCCAGTCTCATTTGTTTTACTTAGTGTACTATCCTCTGGTTCTATTCATTCCACTAGAAATAACAGGATTTTATTTTTTTAACAACCAAATAATAATTTACTGTGCATATTTACCACATTTTCATTACTTATTCATCTGTTGATGGAAAACTGTGAATTCCATATCTTGGCTATTGTCAACAGAGCAGTAATAAACATGGTGATATCAATATCTTTGATATAATGATTTCTTCTATATCCAATAGCATGGTTGCTGGATAATATGGCAATTCTATTTCTAGTTTTTTTTTTTTAATTATGTTCCATGGTACAGTTTTGTAGGTATAGAGGTTCCTCCCTCCCCTTTCCCTGCCTGCCCATTTTCCCCAGATTATCATAGCAGTATAGTCACTTAGTAAAAGTTACAAGTTTAACTTTCTGTTATTGAAATGTAATCTGCCATGGTAGGTAGAAGCTAAGGTAGAAAATCCGGTACCATTTTACAAAGGTGTATTTAAATGTTTCATTAGGAGTCCTACTATTCTTACTTTTTAAAGGAATTTCCTTGTGGTTTTCCATGCCAGCTATATTAATATACAACCAATTCAAAATGGATCAAAGACCCAAATATAAGACATGAAACTGCTGGAAAGAAACGTGGGTTAAATACTGCAGGACATTGGTAAAGACAGTTATTTTTTTTGGAAAAGGCCCTAAAAGTACAGCCACCAAAAGTTACACTAAACAAATGAGATTATGTCAGACTAAGGAGGTTATGTACAACAAAAGAAATAACCAAAGAATGAAGAGACAGCCAACAGAATTAGAGAAGATATTTGCAAGCTATTTATCTGACGAAGGATTAGATTCAGAATATAAAAGAATTCAAAAAAATTCAACAAGGAAAATAACTAATTCCCTTAAGAAATGAGCAGAGGACCTGAATAGGTATTTCTCAAAAGAAGAAACACAGGGCCTAGCGCGGTGGCGCAAGTGGTTAAGGTCCTCACCTTGCACACCCGGGATCCCATATGGGCGCCAGTTCTAATCCCGGCAGCCCTGCTTCCCTTCCAGCTCCCTGCCTGTGGCCCGGGAAAGCAGTCGAGGACAGCCCAAAGCTTTGGGACCCTGCACCCACATGGGAAACCCCGAAGAGTCTCCTGGCTTTGGATCGGCATAGCATCGGCTGTTGCGCTCACTTGGGGAGTGAATCATCGGACGGAAGATCTTCCTCTCTGTCTCTCCTCTCCGTATATCCGCCTTTCCAATAACAAAAATAATAAAAATAAATCTTAAAAAAAAGAACACAAATGGTCAATAAATATATGAAAAAATGCTCATTATCACTAGTCTTTAGGAAAATGTAAATCAAAGCCATAGTAAAATATCATCCCATGCCAATTAGAATGGTTATTATCAAAATAGCAAAAAAGTAACAAAAATCAGGTGAGGATGTAGAAAAAGGAGACTCACATACTATTAATAGGAATGCAAATTATATCATAATTATCTTAGACTTATTTATTTTTTTATTGGAAAGGAAGATTTACAGAAAGAAGAGACAGAGAGAATATCTTCTAATGGTTCACTCCCCAAATGGCTACAATGGCTGGAGCTGAGTTGATCTGAAGCCAGGAGCCAGGAGTTTCTTCCAGGTCTCCCACCTACATGTACCAGGTCCCAAGGACTTGGGCTATTCTCCACTGTTTTCCCAGGCCACAAGTAGGAAGCTAGATGGAAAGTGGAACAGCTGTGACATGAACCAGCAGCTGTAAGGACTCCTAGAACTTGTAAGGGAAGGATTACCCAATTGAATCATTGCACTGGGCCTGTTACATACTAATTTTAAAACACTCTACAAAAGCATTTATTACACTTAGACAACATATAGCCATTAAATAACACAATATGTAAAGCTCTAATAATTAAAAATGGAGTCACTCTTAAATTTATTAACTTCCTAAGTCTAAAATTATATTGATAATAAACGAAAGGTTTCATTTTTGAATAAAATATCAGATTTCATTTAAATAATTTCGGAAGAAACTATACTTTAGTTATGATGAGATTCTACAAATAAAGAATGATAGTGCTGCCAGAAAAGTCAGGCATAAACTCATTTGCATATACAAGTAATAGAAGTGCAAATTTATTTAACCTCTTTTGAGGGCAATTTGACGAGATATCAAAGATAAAAACATGTATACTGTTTGACCTAGTAATTTTTCTTCAAATAAATTATTCTACAGATACACACTTATAGCAGATTAGAAATTACCTAAAAGTCTATTAGAATAGGGAATTATTTTAATAAATCATGGTGAATTCATGCAATGGAATACTACATAATACAAAAAAGCAAAATATCTTTTATTTAGTAATGTAAAATGATGTGCAATATTAATTATCAAACATAAAGAGGTAAGCTGAAGAAAAGTGTTTACAGTGAGAAAATGGAGAAAAGAAATATTCAGATGCATTTGTTAGTAAGCATACATAATACTGATTATCTCTGAAAAGGAAAACAGATCTCCAGTAGCTGCACTTTCCATCAAGCTTCCTGCCTGTGGCCTGGGAAAGCAGAAGAGGATGGCTCAAAGCCTTGGGACCCTGCACCCACATGGGAGACCCAGAAGAAGCTCCTGGCTCATGGCTTCAGATCGGCTCAGCCCCGGCCAATGTGGCTACTTAGGAAGTGAACCAGAGGACAAAAGATCTTTCTCTCTGTATATCTGTCTCTCTATAAACCTACCTGTCCAGTAAAAATAAATAAATTTTATACAAAAAACACAGAAAGATTTATTAATGTTTGACAAACAATGACTGTGTACATTTATGGAGTACAAAGTGACAGAGGAAGATTTATTTTTAAAAAGATGTTCATGAAAGTGTCATCAGAGCCACACATTGTAAAAACAGTTAAAGGTGATTAACAAAACAGAAAATGAAATGCTATATGCATTCCTTATAAATCATAATATCAAATGACATTTTCAAAATAGGGAACTTCCCAAAGAATATTGGTTAAGGTCCTCGCCTTGCACACCCGGGATCCCATATGGATGCCTGTTCTGATCCCAGCGGCCCCCCTTACCATCCAGCTCCCTACCTGTGGCCTGGGAAAGCAGTCGAGGACGGCCCAAGGCTTTGGGACCCTGCACCCGCGTGGGAGACCCGGAAGCAGCTCCTGGCTTCGGATTGGCTCAGCTCCAGCCGTTGTGGTGGCTTGGGGAGTGAATCATCAGACGGAAGATCTTCCTCTCTGTCTCTCCTCTCTTTGTATATCCGCCTTTCCAATAAAAATAAAATAAATCTTAAAAATAATAATAAAAAAGAGATAAACTATGTATTTAGTATAACCTAAATTGTATTAACTTGTGTATAAGCAGGAAACTGTCAATGAATATGTTACTCTTGATGGCAATAATCTATGAGTTGTGGAATCATTTTGTAATTACAATTTTCTTTATTCTTTTCTAAAGTTTTCATGTTGACAAACTACATGCTCTACATTTATTATAACAAATTGATGCTTAAAACATAAAACAAAACATTACACAACTTTCAGAAGATTTGGGCAACATTTCAGGAGAGGAGAATAGCATCTAATAAAACTTTGAAGTCTGAATATGTTAGACTTATTTTCAAATTCATCTCCATTCCTTGATTAATATTGGATTAATTATTTAGCTGTTTATATCTGTTCCTTTTATTGTAAAATGCAGCTAATAGTATTTACCTCCTAAGATTGGGAGAATCAAATCTGTGAACTGCTTAAATAACAAGTGTTTTGTATTTAGCAAGTGTTCTGTAAGTGTTCACCACGAAATATGTGCTCTATATCACTGTTAGTAGTATGCCAGTGTTAAAATTCTCATGTGTAAATGCCAAGTATATTTTATCTGCGTTCACACTGCACCCTCTAGTGGTTCCATAAAGAAAAGCTCTAAGCAGGAATTTACTTTCCTAAGGTGTATTTGTAAATTTTTTTAGATTGGACATATTTTCTCCAGATTTGTAAAACCTCTTTGTAACTTTAATGAAATTATAACTTATAGAAGAACAACTTAAAATTGGAGAATGCATAAATTAACCTATTAATTTCCATATTAAAGACAACTATTACTTTATCATTTTTACTTCAGCAAATAAACACTAAACATTTTAATAATGAATGCTCCCTGTGAATGTTTGAAAAACTTTGAATTAGAACTAGATCATTAATAAATCTGTCAGAGATTGTCTGCAACACACTAGTAAGTTTGTCTTTGCTTATCTTTTAAAGTTTAAGTTTTTTAAAAAATGTATTTATTTTTATTGGAAAAGCAGATTTACACAGAGAAACATCTTCCGTACAATGATTCACTCCCCAAGTGGCCACAATGGCCGAAGCTCAGCTGGGTCCGAGGCTTTGGGACCGTCCTTGACTGCTTTCCCAGGCCACAAGCTGGGAGCTGGATGGGAAGCAGGGGGCGCTGGGATTAGAACCGGTGCCCATGAGGGATACTGGCGTGTGCAAGGTGAGGACTTTAGTCACTAGACTACTGCATGGGGCCTTAAAATTAAATTTTTTAAAGTAAAGTAGCTACACAGTAAACCATTTGGGACAGAGTAATGAAATCACTCACAACCTTAAATTACTGCTAATATTCTGTGTATTTTCTATTTGAACATATATATCATATGTATTCAAATATTTCTTTATTTTAAAGATAGGGGGCGGAGACAGGGATCTTTTATCTTTAGGTTCGCTCCCCAAATGGCCACAACGGACAGGGCTGGGCCAGGACCAAGCCAGATATCTGCGTCGGGAACCTGCAACTCTCCACTCAGGTCTCCCCGTGGGTGGATGGGCCAGAGCACTTGGGCCATCCTTAGGGCTTTCCCAGGCAGATCCAGAATTAGCAGGAAGCTGGGTCCGAAGTGGAGCAGCTACGGCTCCAACATGCTCACATGGGATGCCAGCATCACTGCAGGTGGAGCCTTAGCTTGCTGTGTGACAAGACACCAACTAGGACTGACCCGCTTCTAATCCTACTTCTCAATTTAATTAAAGTTTGCATTATTTTGACCAATGACTTAAATCTTCATCCTAAATTTCTTTTTTGATAAAATGGGTAATGTGATAACAATATTAACCTCACAGAAAGACTGTATTAATATGATGAAGTAATTATATAATAAGTGCTCAAAGATAGCTACTTTGAATTAAAGATCAGTGTGGTACAGGAATTCAATACCTTTCAGATAATCCTCTCCCATGATCTGTTTCCAGTTCACTGCTTTTCTTAAGTTGGTTTATTTCTTTTGATGTTACTGCAACATTCTGTGGATAGTAAAAGAAATCATAGTTTTAAAAATCACCACACCAATAAGTAAATCAATATTTGCCAAAAAGACACTGACTATAAAAATATTTGTTAATCATATCCAGTGTAGTGGGAAAACTTAACAAACTTTTGTACATAAAAATTAGAATTTTGAAGATAACAATTGTGATTATATTGGATCAGCACAATTTTGGCAAATGTAGTTATCTTTTAGTTTTTGAAATTTTCTCTTACATGGTTATAATACAATTTAAAAACAGATTTATTTATTTGAAAGGCAGAGAGGTAAAAATGGAACAGGCAGGCTGGGCCAGGCCAAAGCCAGGATCCCAGGACTCAATCTGGTTCTCCCAGGTTGCATCGTCAGCAAGCTGGAATCAGGAACAAAGCCAGGTCTGCACCCAGGCAGTGTGATGCATGATGTAGGTGCTCCAAGCCGCATCTTCAGTGTTCCAGTGGTCATACAATATAAGAAAACCAAACAAGGAGAGGAATTACCAATTTCAACGTTCTTAAAAGCCCTGTCTTAAGGGTTCCAGGGCTCTGTGTAAGATACAAATAAAAGTATGAACAAACCGACAATTCAAAATGACAGTGAAGTATCTGGGAAGCTTTGAAAGAATTTTAGTATATTAAGTTTTTTTCTAAAAGAGTTGTGAAAGTGAGGTTGAGTGGGCAGTACAGTGCTGACCTGCAAGTGCTAGCACTGCATAAGGGTACCAGCTGGGGTCCTGTCTGCTCCACTTCCCATCTAGCTTACTACTTGTGGCCTGGGAAAGCAGTAGAGGACAGCCCAAAGCCTTGGGACCCTGCACGCGCGTGAGATATCCAGAAAAATCTCCTGGCTGCCAGCTTCAGATCAGCGCTGCTCTGGCTGTTGTGGACATTTAGGGAGTGAATCAATGCATGGAAGATCTTTCCATTTTTCTCTCACTATGAAATCTGCCTTTCAAATAAAAATAAATAAATAAAAATTTTAAAAAGTGACTGATATGGGTACCTATCATAATATGTTTATTTAATAAGCCATTAAAAAACTTTGTATTCTGATCATAAATTTGTTGCAAACAATAAAAATGTTAGCCAAATTACTTTCCAGATATACCCTTCCATTGCAATTCAGTAAAGTACCTTCTCTATATATGTTGTACGGTTACATTATTATAATTAGCTAGGATTCAGTATGAATTAATATTTTGAAAGAATTGGTAAAATAATTTATTGTGTGGTAATACACTGTTTAGAGCCAATATAAGAATGTTCTCATAATTTCTTTGCAGAAAAAACTGGATTGGGTTGAAATGAAAAAAGTTTTGTTCCTCTTTGCTAACGATTAGTTATGTGAGTAAAACAGGTCTTTTTATTTCAATTTTCTCATTTATAAAACCAAATGATTAAAACAATGATATTTAAGAAACTTCTGATATATGCAATAATTATCAAATAATAATCATTCAGTCATCACTCATGTTGCTGGAAACAATGTGACAAGTCAGGATTAGGTATTTTCACCTTTAGTCAAACTTACTATTATCTCCTCACCGAAGATTATAAAATAACTATTGCTTTTAGTTGGTAACATTTGGGAAGAAAAAAATGAATTAATAAAAGGAACACAAAATGTATAAACTAACTGCTTATATTTGATATATAGTATAAAGATATCCTGCCTTATTGTGAAAATTTTCAAATTTACCTTAAATTGTACAATAATCCTTTAATCAATAAACCTTTAATCTAGATCTATATTCTTACCAGCCTGGACGCCTTTTTCTCTTTTCATTTTTGCTAAAACATTTGAAAATATTTGCAAATACCATGTTATTTCTACTTCTTAATACTCAACATGTATTTTCTTTAAAAATATATTCTTTAATATCACTATCACATTAAAGCAAATTAACATTAATTCAAATCACTCAATAAACACTTCACAGTTAATTTTTTAAATAAAAATCCAGAATGTCTTTTATACCCCCTGTTAAGTTAAAAAAAAATTAGAATTCAGTCAAGGTTCATGTATTACATTTAATTATTACTTTTCTTAGTCTAAAACATATTTCCCACAGCATACATTAGCAGGGAGCTTGGAATGGAAGCAGCAGACAGGCCCTCTGATGTGGAATGTGACATATACAGCGGTGGTTTAATCCACTGCACCGCAACTCTATCCCCTTCCTATGCTTTGGTTTTTATAGCACGGCTGTTAAAGGGTTGTATGTTGCTTTGTGGTATAACCCATATTCTGGATTTAATGTTCTGATGATTAACTCACAATTAGACTAAGGTTAAACATTTTGAACAAGAATATTATGTAACTAATATTGTGTACTTATTATCATATCATATCATACTTAACACAATGTGAGGTTGTTCCAATATTTGTGATACAAAATTTCATTAGTTAACATGGTGTTTGTCAGATCCTTCCATTGTAAAGATGCATTGTTTGCCTTTGTAATTCGTAAGTAATTTATAAATGATAATCTGAAATTACGGTTTTACAATCAATTAATGATCTTTGTCTAAATCAATTTTTATACTTGGGATTATAAGATGGAGATTTTCCATTCTATCATCCTTTTTATATTTATTAGCTTCAATTATTATATAATGAAAATTTTTCTTTTCTGTCTTCTTGCCTCTATAATATCACTATGAATTCATGGTTTCCTTTTATTTAATGTTTTATAATCTATTATTGTCATTATTCTTTTTGATGTTCAAGTTATCCCAAATTAACTATGATATAAACATTTTGAAGACAAAAGCACAGATGGGGACTGGCATTTGGAACAGCAGTTAAAGATGCCACTTAGAACATCTGTATCCAATATCAGTGTGCCTGGGCTCCAGGCCTGGAGCCAATTCTAGCTTCCAGGGACGCATACCCCATGAGGCAGCAGATGATGCTGAACTACCTGGGTCCCTGTCATCTACATAGGTCACCTCGACTTCAGCATGGTTCAGTCCTTGACTATTGCTGCATTTGAGTAGAGGAACCAGTGGTCGAAAACTTTCTCTCTCTCTCCCTTAAAGTAAATGGGAAATAATTTTTCAAAAGGATAGATACGTTTGAGTCAGGAAGGCAAAGGCTAAAAATAATCGATTTTTAGTATTGTACAGATGGCACGGCACAGGAATTAGAATTTACACTGGCAGGAAATGACTGGTAAGTACCATGCACCCATAACCACCTTAATATTGCTATCAGAAGCAAAATTTCAATTTTCTTGCATGAATACTTCCACTTACATAAAAATACCTAATGTACTACTGTAAAAGCAATATCAGATAGATAATATTCAATGCAAACATGCCCTTAACTCCTTAATCTCGCTCAAAGGTGCTAACACGTCACAAGCAAACATTTCTAAGATCACATTGATTTTAGAAAATTTTGAAATTGGATTCTAGTCAAGTACCTTAATTATTCTTACCTTTTTTTTCAGAAAACATTGATCTTGTTCCCAAATAAAACTACCAATTTTTCTTCTTATTTCTGTGGTAAGAAAAATAAATCCAATACTGTTTTTTAAAAGTAACTTTATAAAATCTCCCAACATTTACTTGAAGTCTGAAATGTCTGGCTAACGGTATTCCATTTAGTAAACTATGACACTTGTTAAATGCAGATTCCTATTGAATCCACTCACCGAGGAGGAGGACTTCAGGAATCTGTCTTTCTAACAAACTCCTCAAAGCTCCCAGTGCATTATGAAAATCACTGCGGCTGACTCTTCCTGTTGGAATAAACTTCTTCACTAGATATCAGTGTCAAGCATTATAAGGTAGACAGCTGCCCAGTCAAAATAAGCAGAGTAAAATTGTTGAGTTTGCAGAGCAGAGATCCTTGAGAATTAACTTATTTGTTAAAAGAAAGGTAAACAAGCAATATGTCTAGGAGGATTGAAAGTGCAGGAATTCTGCAATATTGACCAAGTCAAAGCAGTGCCATCATCCTAAGTCAAAACTCCTGAAAGTTTGCACTTAAGTAAAAAAAAAAAGGGGGGGAGGTAGCATCACTCAAAATCCAATATGGATGTCCAGTACAGTAGCTGCTAGCTACATTTGGGCACTGAATACTTAAAATATGTGGTGAGCCCAAATTGAGATGTACAGTGTGTGATACGTATAAAATAAACACTGGATTTCAATGATTCAGTATCCAAAAAAAAAAAAAATGACAATAGCTTGGATATATAAAAGGAACTTCGGGAAGTTAGTGGAAAGGTAGAATTAAAAGTTTATTTTGATCCATTTTTTTTGAATTTTATTTTTCATTTTATTTGAAAGACAGAGGCAGAGATCTCCCATCCTGTTTCAGTCCTCAAATGCCCACAACAGTAAGGGCTGGGCCACACCAAACGCAGGAGCTCAGAACTCCCTTCTTGTATCCCATTCGGATAGCCAGGAACCCAAGAACTTGAGCCAAAATCTGCTGCCTCCCAAGAAACACATCAGCAGGAAGCTGGATCAGAAGCACTCAAACCAGAATTCCAGGCAATTCAAACCAGACACTGTGAAATGGGATGTGGGTGTTCCTAGTATACCTTAAATTGCTTCTACCACAAACATGCCCATCCCAAGGCTTTGGGTCATCCTCTAATGCTTTCCCAGGTCACAAATAGGGAGATGGATAGGAAATGGAGCATCTGGGACATGAACCAGTGCCCACATGGGATCCTGGCACATCCAAGGTGACAATTGAGCCAGAGCCATTGCACCAGGCTCTTAAACATTGATTTCATCTATTTCTTTTATTCTTTTAACTGTGATTACTAAAAACTTTTAAATGCATATGAAGCTCACATTTGTGTCTTCCACTTCTAGACAATACTGCTCTACTTGGATAAGATGTATACTTTTAATTTCTTTTAAAAGACAGAATTTAAAGAATTTTAAAACATGTTAATACAAGATGCTAAACTCAAAGAGCCTGGCACTCTAGCCTAGCATCTAAAATCCTCACTTCGCACACACCAGGATCCCATGTGGGTGTCGGTTTTAATACCAGCAGCCCCACTTCCTATTCAGCTCCCTGCCTGCGGCCTGGGAAAGCAGTCGAGGACGGCCCAAAGCCTTGGGAACCCTGCACCCGTGTGGGAGACCTGGAAGAGGCTCCTGGCTGCCAGCTTCAGATCAGTGCTGCTCTGGCCATTGAGGCCGCTTGGGGAGTGAATCATCAGACAGAATATCATTCTGTTTCTCCTCTTCTCTGTATATCTGACTTTCCAATAAGAAAAGAAAAATAATTCTTAAAAAAGATGCTAAACTCAGATAAAATAGGAAGGATAATTAAAATCAGATAAGCTAGTCTCTATAGTATAAGGTACTTGTAGGTGAGTATTTGGTGATTGGCACAATCATTTTTAACAAATAATTTCTCTCAACAAGTAATTAACTTGCACAAACCACTCAGAACAATTTCATGTTATAAATTACAAATAGTTCTCACTAGGACGATAACAGTGGAGGAAACTCAATATTTGCGAGTAATAAAAGCTCTTGTATGGAAATATTTTTCAAGTTTCTTTTTTAAAAGATTTATTTATTTTTATTGTAAAGTCTGATATACAGAGTGGAAAAGAGACAGAGAGGAAGATCTTCCATCCGATGATTCACTCCCTAAGTGACTGCAATGGCGAGAGCTGTGACAATCCAAAGCCACGAGCCCGGAACTTCTTCCTGGTCTCCCATGCAGGTGCAGGATCCCAAGGCTTTGGGCCATTCTCAACTGCTTTCCCAGGCCACAAGCAGGGAGCTGGTTGGGAAGTGGGGCTGCCGAGATCAGAACCAGCGCCCATATGGGGTCCTGGCATTCAAGGAAAGCCAATAGGCCACCACACCAGGCCCTCAAGTTTCTTTTTAATATTTTAATATTCGTCTCATTGGGAATTTGTATTCAGCTTCAGTCTGAATTTCTGGAGATATACTTACCTTTTGGTAAATTCACATCATACTTACCTTTTGGTAAATTCACATCAAGAGTTGGACAATAAAGTAACACATACGAAAGTAGGAGGTTTAAAGTTAGACAAGAAAAGATTGAAAGGTTTCTGCAATAGTTCAACTGACTAATCCTCCACTTGCCAATGCCAGCATTCCATGTGGGCATCAATTCATGCCCCAACTGCTCTACTTCCCATCCAGCTCCCTGTTTATGGTCTGGGAAAACAGAGGATGGCTCAAAGCCTTAGGATTCTGCACCGTGTGGCAGTCCCAGAAGATGCTCCAGACTTCTGGGTTCAGATCAGATCAGCTCCGCTGTTGCAGCTATTTGGGTAGTGAACCATTGGATAGAAGATTTTTTCCCCCTCTGTCACTCCTTCTCTCTGTAAAATATGACTTTCTGATAAAAATAAATCTTTTTAATGAGAAGAATGATAGCATTTGAATAGAATAATAAGAGTATTAAGCAGTGAAAACTTTAAAAATCACTTTTAGAAGTACCCCCTTTATTTACTTGTCCTTCCAACTTCTTCAGGTTGCTGAAATAATTAATGTGAGAGTACTTCCAAAGGAACAATACAAATATATTGGTCTATTATCATAACCAATATTTAAATATCAGAAGAAAAATTTCAGAAAAATAATTTAAGAGGTTCAAAACTAGAAAAGAATACATCTGTTAAATGCTCACATGTTAGACACTTTAACACATTATAGCATTTTGTCCTTAAAACAACTTGGCAGAAGTTTTTGGCATGCTGAAAGATCACAAAACCACAAAGCATTGGCTCCTAGGGCCAGATCTCTACCAATCTTATTCACAACAGACTCTCCAGCACCTAGGGTTAAAACGCGACATACTGGAAGATTCTATGAATTCCTGAATTTGTCAAAGAGCATTAAACAAAGACAGGCTACACACTCAAGGCCATTTGATCCAAAGTATATTCTTTCATCACTTATATTAAATAATAAAAAAAGAAAAACTCAAAAAATCAGGGGCCAGCGTGATGGCATAGCAGGCTATTCCCCAATCTGGCGCTGGCATCCCATAAGGTTGCCACTTGGGACCTGACTACTCTACTTCTGATTTAGGCTCCCTGCTGGTGACCCAGCAGTGGCAGATGGTCCAAGTCAGACTGGGAAGAGATGGGCCCAGTCCTGGTCGTTGTGGCCATTTGGGCAGTGAATGGGCAGATGGAGGATCCTTGTCTCTCCCTTCCTCTCTTTGTAGCTTAAATAATAATAATAATAAAAGGCTTAAAAATCCCTGAATGAAGACAAAGAATGAAGACAAAGAACAGAAATGTTGGTTGAATGATCTTTGCTGACCTTTTTGCAGGCATTCAGGAGGTAGAATGAAATGACCTAAAACCACGGAGTTTTTTGTTTCAGCATTGGCTACTGCCGCGAGATAGTAGGCATGAAAAACTGTAGCATTATCCTCTATGTAATCAAGGCTCTGATATATTCTAGGAGAAAGAAAAAATAAATCTTTTAGGCTATGAAATAAACATTCAAACCTTTAAAATAAATGATAAAGCACTAATGTCAAAGACAGTTACATTAAAAGATACATTTAGGATGATCTTTTTTTTTTTTTCTGGCAAAAGAGTAAAATACTCTTTTGGGGGCCTGAATCTAGATCAGTCCCAATGTTAGCGATTTCATAAATGATTATATGAATTCAGGAACTTGACCTAAAAAATGTTACTGTTTCCTGGTAGATAGAGTGCAGTCACCTATGATTTTCATTCATAATCACTGTCATAATGAGAGACCCATGAATTCCTAGGCATAAGACAAGCCTTGGCATAGAGAAGGCAACCTTTTCACTAAATCTGTCAAAAATATTATACAAGAGGGGAAAAAAAAGGGTGGAGGAGGGGCGATGCATGAAGGTACAATAAGGACAGATTGGGTTGACTGGACTGTGGACCATGGAGGTTGCTGAGTTTGGAGGACTCAGGCCCCAGGGTTAGTTCTGGGTTAGGACATACTGTGCCTGAGGAATCTTCAGCAAACATGCGCCTAGAGACCAGGGGCCAGGCCTTGAGCCTGAGGAGGAAGGGAAAGGAGGCCCTAGAAAGTGCTGGCTTCCCATCTCAATCTACCATCAAAAGTTGTTAGTGGAACGCCTAACTCTGCCCTCACTCTGACACGTCCTCAGTACCTCAGCGTGTCTGGGTGCGAGGCATCACAGCTGAACAAGAACTCCGCGGCCTGTGGGTCGCTGATCATCCCTCCCTGGGCCACTGTGGAAGCAAGAGCACAGGCTGAATCGAGCAGGTAACAGCGGGATGCACCGCCTCAACCGACCCTTCGGGCCAGCTTCCTACCCCAGAACTGCTTCAGGTCCTGGCTGACGCTGCGGCAAAACCAACCACGCTGCCCTTGAAACATGGCGTCGTCTCGTGCTGTGAGAACGCGTGGGGCGGGACCCTGGCGCTCTGGTTGGTGATTGGGCCCAGCTCTGAAGCCGAGCTCTATGATTGGTTCCCAGGGGCAGTAGGCGGGAAAGGTCAGAGGCACGTGAAGGGAGATCATAGCGCCCAGCTGGCGCTGACGAAGCCGCTGGGTTCTTCAGAAGCTGCGCGGGAGGCGGGACTCTCAGGCTGGTGAGTTTTAAAACCTACTATCAACAAAGGTATTGTGCTGTGTTGTACAGGCGTGGGTACAGATTCTGAGGCGTCGAGTATTATTTTCAAGCAAAACGCATTTTATCATTTCACCTATAAATGTCTCGCTTTGAATCTCTGAAATTTGAGGACTTTACAGAAAACACAACTAGGTACCGTTACTACACTTAAAAAGTAATTCTTAAACAAAGGTATTACCAGTGTTCAAATGTCTCCCAGAATAATGGTTTTCTTTCATGGACCCACTCAATCTCACCCCACTTATTATATCAGTTAGAATAAGCTGGATTTTTTTTTCTGACGTGAAATTCCTTAAATTTTTTAATAATTTCTATTTGTTTTACTTGTTTCTGAATTTCTATTCTTTTTCTAATTTCTTGAAATAGGTGATTGGTTTTCATTTTGATATGTGTATAAATGAGTATAAATTTCTTTTTAAAAGAAAATTAGTTGGAAATTAATTGAGACTGGCATTCTGGCATAGCTCATAAAGCTACCACTTCCAGTGCAGGTATCCCATATAGGCACTAGTTCAAGTCCTCATTGCTCCACTTGTGATCCAACTCCCTCCGCAATGGCCTGAGAAAAACAGCAGAAGATGGCCCAAGTGCTTGGGTCCTTGCTATCTACACAGGACACCTGGAAGAAACTCCTACTCTTGGCTTTGGTCTGCCCAACCTGGCTCTTGCAAACACCTGGGGAGTGAACCAGTGGAATGAAAAGATCTCTCTGCCCCTCCCCCCACTATAATTCTTTCAAATAAATAAATAAAGTTTTTTTTTTTTATTTATTGTTGCTTACATTGTATTATGTAGTACAGTTTTATAGGCGCTGGAGGTTCCCCCCAGTTTTAAAAAGAAAGTTAACTAATTCAGGAGGAGCATTCCTATGCACTGGTTCATTGCCCTGAAATGCCTGCAAAGCTAAGGTAAGCCGAGAAATTCAGGTCTCTCATATGATTAGCAGAAACCAATCACTTGAGCCATTACTGCTGCCTTCCAGTGTCTGCCTTACTAAGAAGCTTGAGTCAAGGGTTAGAGCCGAGAACTGAAGATAGATACTCCAGTGTGAGACACTGCATCCTAATAGGTAGGCTAAGTGCCTATTCCTAAATTTTCCTTTAGATTATATGCCATAAATTCCTTATTATTTGAAAGGCAGAGTAACAGAGAGAGGGATAAAGGCAGAGAGAGAAAGAGATACCTTTTACCTGCTGGTCCATTCCCCAAATACTGCAGTGGCCAGGGCTGAACCTGACCAAAGTCAGGATCCAGTAGTTCTTCCAGGTATTCCACATTGGTACAGAGCCCAAGCCCTTGAGTTGTCTTCTGCTGCATTCCCAGGACACATTAGCAGGGAAATGTATTAGAAGCATCAGGAGTCAGAAGCATCAAAAGTGAAACAGCAAGGACTTGAACTGGCGCCCATATGGAATGCTGCCATTTCAGGAAGCAACTTAACTCACAACACCACAATGTTGGCTCCATGCTGTAAGGCTTTGAGTTTTATTATTGCTCAATTCAAAATATTTTTTTAAAGATTTATTTTTATTATTTATTTATTGGAAAGGCGGATATACAAAGAGGAGAGACAGAGAGGGAGATCTTTCGTCCGATGATTCACTCTCCACGTGAGCGCAACGGTCGATGCTATGCCGATCCAAAGCCAGGAGCCTCTTCCGGGTCTCCCATGCAGGTGCAGGTTCCCAAAGCTTTGGGCCGTCCTCGACTGCTTTCCCAGGCCACAGGCAGGGAGCTGGAAGGGAAGCGGGGCTGCTGGGATAGAACCGGCGCCCATATGGGATCCCGGGCGTGCAAGGTGAGGACCTTAACCACTGCGCCACCGCACCAGACCCCAAAATATTTTTTTTTAAGATTTATTTTTATTATTATTTTTTTTTATTAGAAAGGCGGATATACAGAGAGGAGAGACAGAGAGGAAGATCTTCCATCCGATGATTCACTCCCCAAGTGAGCGCAACGACTGATGCTATGCCAATCCGAAGCCAGGAGCCTCTTCCGGGTCTCCCACACAGGTGCAGGGTCCCAAAGCCTTGGGCCGTCCTTAACTGCCTTCCCGGGCCACAGGCAGGGAGCTGGAAGGGAGGCAGGGCTGCCGGGATTAGAACCGGCGCCCATATGGGATCCCGGGCGTGCAAGGCGAGGACTTAACCACTTGCGCCACTGCGCCAGGCCCCAAAATATTTATTTTTACAGTGAATTTTTTGACTTGGGTTATTTGAAATATTTTTGGATTTCCAAATGCATGCAATTTTTTATCGCTTCTCGGCGTTTTGGCTAAGAGCAAGTGTCCAAATACATGCAATTTTCTATTGTTATTGATTTTAAATACAGTAAAGACAAAGAACTTGCTGTGTGTGCATAATTATAATCCTTTAAAATTTGTTGACATTTTCCCTGAATTTTTAGTACACAGTTCATGTCCTGAATGTGTTTGTTTAGAGGAATGTTCTGAAGCTGTTGAACATTCTGGGTGTAGTGTTCCATATGTGCTCATTGGGTTAAGTTTATTAATCAGATTGTCTGATTCTCCATCAATTACTGGAAAAAAAATTTTTAAAAACCTCATACTTTATTTGTAGCTCTATCAATTCCTTCTTGTATTTGTTCATTTTTGTTTTGTGGATTTTGAAAGTACATCACTATACAAACAAATATATTCTCACTTGTTTTTATTTTCTAGTTGATTTCACCATTGAGCATTTGAATGTAGAAGGGCAAATCTGAAAATTTATAAAAAAAAATAACAGTAAAGTATCTTCCTAGCCTCAGGATTGGCGAGGATTTAATTTTTTTTTTAATTTTATTTTTGATGATGTTTACAGAGCTGATCAGGATGGGAAGGGTTGAGGATCAGGGGATAGTGAGTGAGACTATTGTTTGCCCATTCTTTTTCTTGTTTCTATATATGGGAGAGAGGGAAATACAAGAGGACAAGCATGTCCAGCCTTCCAACTGCTGCATTGCCTGAGGGATGGGGAACTGCCACTCGATGCCATCCCAGGGTCTCCATTGTGGAGAACTTTCTGGCAAGGATTTTTTTTTTTAAATAAAATACATCAAGCACTTATTATGACAGAAAATATGCATAATTCTGACTTATTAAACTTTGTCAAAATCTCCATAATTAAGTGAAAATGTAAGTTACAAAAATGTGGCAAATTACGTGCAGTACCAAGCAACAGTGCAGACCCTGGGAGGTGGCACTGATGGTTCATGTGACTGGGTTCCTGCCATCCATGTTGGAGAGTCCTGGAGTGAGTTCTCAACTCTGCCTCCATGTCATTTCAGGCATTAAGCAGATGAATTGGAACTCTCTCCTCTGTTGCTTGCTCTCTCTCATTTCAGGCTAATTGGCTGGCTCCCTGCCTCTCAAATTAAAAAATACACACACACACACACGTTTATTTTTGTATGAAAGATTCTAAAATCCATACACAGTATTTTCACAATATGCATTTCTATAAACTTTTGAAGATTCCTCTTACACATTACCCACATTCTTCTGTACTTTATAATTAGATTTTAAAAAATAATAAAAGTATGTCAACTTAGGGAACTTTATCTGGAGTAGTAAGTCTTAGCACATTGACTGGGGCCTCTTTTACCCGCTACATCATATAGGATATTTTCGTTGCTATCAGCCTCACTCTCTTGCAGCCTGGGATACAATAATACTTACATATAAAATGGACCCAGCCATGATTTTCATGAGTGCCATTCAGGTCTTTTTTAGTAGGTAAGTGTCATATTTAGGGTTTTATAATTACCTTCATTAGAAGGATTTATGTTCCTAGTTACATTCTGAGTTCTGTGTAAAGGGATTGTTCAGGTGATTCAGTATACAGTAAACAGTTGGGAAAACTGTATTAAAGTAAATGTGTATCATTAATGTTAGGATAAATGCTGGAGAGCTGAGGTGGTATGTCAAAAAAAGCTCTAAGGCAGATACCTACAGAGTGAAAAATGTGTGTGTTACTCTGGTCTGGTGTTATTCGCCTGGTCATCTGAAGGCAGGATTCATATTTTTCTTTTCTTTGAAAAATTGTTTTATTATAGTATAACTTATGTTCTGTAAAATTTTCCATTTTAAGTATGCTTTTTGCTAATGTCTAGTTTATATGACCATACAATCATCACCATAGAAATATTCCTTTTCAAGAAGTTGTTTTCCAACTTTAGATTTTTTATTCACTGTTATTCATTTTTTAGTCTGACTAATCACAGCTTATATTCTTCCTTCTACGCTAATGAAGATATTCCTTGGCTTTCTCTGATGAAATCTGTTGAAAGCACTTGTCTGTCCAGAGGTAGACTAGATATCAAATTTCTGGAATTTTAAGAGGAAGCAAGTGGGCTCTCTTCTGTCCTCCAAACCCTTGGTCATAGTCCTTGAAATTTTTTTTTACCATAGTACTTAAAACTACAGCATTGAAGTATTTTCCTATTGAATTTGTACTATATATTACCTAGTTGTGTTAAGTCAATGGTTAGTGTTCTGAGTTTGATAATACTAAAATTACATAAGAGATTGGTTTTCTAGTGATATTTTTGATGTATTTAAGACTAAGGATTATGATACCAACAACTTAATTTAAAATGGTACATAATTATGAGCATTTGGCGTAGCATTCAAGATTTGGCTTCAGATGTCCACATTTTGTACCAGAGTGCTTGGGTTCAAGTCCTGTTCTGCTTCCTGTTAATGTATGCCCTGTGAGGCAGTGAATAATAACTTAAGCTC